GCAAGAGCTGGGTGGGTAGGCAGCCTGGTTCTTACTACTACTGCCTTCCTGGCTGAGCAGCCCCTGTCTATGGCAGGCCGGGCTGATCACAGGCAGAGGCTGCTCTGGCAGCAGCCACTGTCCGCGGGGTTTCTAGCAGAAGATTGGACCCCTCTGTGGACAGGGGATGATGCAAGAGCAGCCTCTGCTCGCAGCAAGCCTGGGCCTACTGTGGGCAGAGGCTTCTTCTCAGCAGCCTCCCTCTACCCCCTACCCCACCCCGTGCTGCTCCCTCTGATAGAGGCAGCAGTGTGTGAGGACAGGCGACACCACAGAGATATTGTTGCGGGGAGTTGGCTTTTAAGCCGGCTCTCCCAAACACTGGCTTCTGTACCCACACTTGCTGCCTCTGATATAGAGGCAGCATGCGGGGGCAGGAGGAAATGCAAGTAGTTGACTTAACTAACTGATAAGCCTATTTCTTGCTTACATCCCTAGTTGAATGTTTTGTGGTCACAGCTCAGGGTTATCCCCAAATTTCCATGTCAATAAATTTCTCATGTTAGATGTGAAGGGAAGCACACAGTCGTTTATATATTCTTGTGCCATGATCTGAGACTGTATTTGGCATAATTCACAAAGGGGAGGAGGAAGAGCAGCTGTCCCCTTGCTCCTAGATTGATTTTTTGATTTGCCTGGGTATGTGTTTTTATCATGTATAACAAAGTCTCATTTTACAGCTATGAGAGTGTGGTCCGGTTGGGTTCTGGGACTAAAGGACCCTCCCCCAGCCTATGGTGAGGATCCATTGAGCCTGGGACTCGAATAAATATGGGGGACAACAGAAACAAAATAGGATAGAGATGAGAGTCAACAGATCAAAAGTAGGGAAACAGAAGGTGAAACCATGAAGAGACCCCCGGCAATGCCCATAGTTCCTTGAATGTTTCAAGGGAGTCAACAGATACCAAAGAAGGGAACTTGTCTGAAAACGCAAGTTGAGAGAGGAAAGGAAATAGGTCTCACGGTTGCAGAGAACCCTCTTAGTCAACATTGTCTCTGAGTGGTGAGAGGCTGGTATAATAGCCAGAGACTAGAGAAGGCCCTTTCCCTATGAACTGAAAAGAGATTCCCATAAGGTTAATTAGATGCCTGAGTTCAATTAAGAGCTGTCAGTGACCTTTAGAACCCCTCTTCTGGACAGACAGACAGACAGACAGGAGGGATGAGGAACAAGCTTCAGGATGATAGGGGCAGCAGGGAGAAAAAGGTTCTCCTAGATGTAAGGCTGCTCTTCTCCTTACAGAAGTAAAGTCATGTTAACTTTTGTTTGGGGAAGGACTAGCAACCAGATTATAGCATATAATGCAGTGCCCTGGGGTGGGATCAGGAAAAGACTTATTTTGTGCTGAAGGTTTGATTTTTTTTTGCTTAAGAGATCTGCTTGGGACTACACTGAGGCCTACATTGTAAATCTTGGAAAAAATAGAGCATAGAATTTGAAACCTTTCCAGTAGGATTGCTGTACTCCAGACCTTCATCACTAGAGAGAGAAATGATAAGGCTAATGAGATGGCGGTGCCTTGCCAAACTGGATTTATCATGTAATCTATCCTTGAAAAGTGACTGTGGAAATGTAATCACCTGAGATTTTATTCCCGCTACAGAAAACAGAGGAACAAGAAGAGATTGCAGAGGTTATGATAAACCCTGGCAGGTAAATGCAAAGAAACCTAAGAAGTCAAAGAGTGACCTTGCTGTGTCCAACATTTCTCCTCCATCACCGGAATCCAAGTCATGTAAGCCAATTTCAATGCTTTATTAATCAATACACTCTTCAGATTGAAATAAAATGCAAAACAGGGCTCTTCCTTTAAGTTGAAATGTCTGGATATATATCTTATTAGATGTCAGTTTTAATACACACCATAGACTGTTAGTATTATATTCCTGAACACACCATAGACTGTTAGTATTATATTCCTGAGGAAATTCTGCACCAAAATTCTGCACCATAAAAATTATGCACACAATATTTTAAATTTCTGCAAATGTTATTTGCCAAGGGCTGGGGCTGCCCCAGAAACACGCAGAGGCCCTTACCCTCTGCGCCAGGTGCACCTGGTGTTGGTGGGCAGGCTGTGACCAGCAAGATTGATGTGTGGAGGGGCGTACCAAGGCGGGGGATCCAGGTATCGGGGGAGAGGTTTTTGTGCAGGGCAATCAGAGTGCGGGTGTCTCTGTGGAAGATCTGGATTCACAGCAACTTGTTCTGGGTGCAGGAGCTGTGGGATTCTGCAGAGGATCCAGGTGAAGGTGGCTGAGGCTAAGCAGGGGGTTCTGGATGTGGGAGCTTGTCTGGGGCTGGAGGTCCGAGTGCTAGGGGAGTGGGGTTTGATGGGGTCGGTGTCCAGTACCTCTGGTTGGGGTTCAATGGGGTGGGGGTCTGGGTATGTGGGACTCATTGGGGGTCCAGATATAGGATTGTTTGTTAGGATAAGGCTTGTTTGTTAGGTTTGTTAGGATAAGGCTTTGATGGGCCTGCTTAATGAGGGAGCCCAGCAGCTGCTGAGGGGATGTTTCAGGTCAGGCTCTTACTTTCTACCATGATTGCCATTGGCCTTTTTCCTCTCTATCACCCTCTCCTGCCCTATTCCACCTCCTTCATCTTTCAGCCCTCTCACCCACCCCTTCTCTCATTTCTCATAATCCTCTCTTACCTACTCCCAACATGGGCACTTACTGTTACACCGTAAAGAGGAAGGCACACAACACACAAAAGTGGAGCATGACTAGCACTTGGTCCCAAAAGATGGCATTCAGTGGTGGAGTCAGAGGAGCATAGAGGAGCAGAGAGCAGCCTCTTTCAGCTGGATTGCTCTGTGTTTGCAGATATTGGGGATGGGGGTGGGGGGAATACTGTTGCATGTAACACCATATGCTCACTATGCCTCACCTCTGTTTGGAGGGGGCTATTCCCCTGGAAAAACTGTGTCCAGCATTGTTCTTCCCCCTCCTCCCCCCCCCGAATGGCTTCCCTTTGCTTCCCTGCCATTTTCTGCAGAACGCACAAGAATTGGGGGGAGGAGGGAGAGCACACAACATGAAGAGGATTACTTTAGAAAAAAATTAATGTTTTATGTTTGAAAATTTGGATTTTGATTGATGTTTCATTTGCCAACACACACACACAAAACCTATACTCTATATCTATAGAGCTAATAATTCTACAGTGGACTGGATCAATGCAGATAACTCATTGATAACATATCTGGCTTTAGACACAAGTAGTGTCGAGAAATAGAAGGATTATTGTTTGAGACTTGCTGGGGAAGCCTAATGATAAGTTAAAGGAAAGGAACAAGAGAAATTAAATGACTGAAGTGAGTATTGACAGTGACCTGTAAAAGAAAATGGTTAGAATGGTGATAAAAGAATGAATGAAGTACAGTAGTGCCTATGCACACATTTTTGATACCATATAAGGTTGCCAGGTGTCCGGTATTGACCTGGATAGTCCGGTATTTTCGCCTCCTGTCCAGTAAAAAAAATTCAGAAAATACTGGACACCTAAAATGTATTTTCTATTTTTTTCCCCTGCCAGGAGGCGAAAATACTGGACACCTGGTAACCCTGCAACACACTCAGCAACTAGGCCTAGGCCCAGCCCCCTGCCTCCCGGACCCCTCCGGGCCCCCTGCTCATCTGGTTCTGCAGGGAAGCTGCCTTGCTCGATTAAGAAAACAAGATGGCTGCCGGCAAAAAGCCTAAAGACCTGAAGCAAGGGGAAGCAATGCCTTCCCTGGGTCTTAGTGCTCAACCCCTCCCCCCTTGTTTTCCCTATTCTGACTGTGCACGCACTTAAAGGGGCCATGCTGTTTTAATGCTGTTTTGTTTTGGTTTGTTTATTTATTTATTTATTTATTGCGTAATAACTCACTCGGTCCTTTTTTTTTTCCCCCCCCTTTCGCTCTGCTCAACAACTTTGGTCTTCCCCCTTTTCCCGTCAACAGAATCTTTTCCCCGGTGTGTTTTTTTTTTGCGGGGGGAAGAGAGGGGGAGTGTTTGGTATTTTTGGTTAAACCATCTGGCAACCCTAGTAAATCAATTTATTTACCAAATAGTAAATTAATTTATTTTTGAACTTTGGTTTTATCATAAATCACTTACAGCATTTCCCAAGATCAAAAACACACAAAAGCCATGCAGCTATATTTAGAGGATTTGGAAGCACTCTGGTTAAGTCACTATGAAGGAAAAAACTGGTTATAAATTTGCGTGTAACATCGTAAAGTTGGGCTCATCAGCAGAAAGATAGCTACATTTTTTCAAGAAGGAGAATGCAGAAGGAAATAGTATACAGAGGGGGAGAATTTATTAGTTTAAATTTTATGAAAGAGCAGAAAACAGTTTTCAGTGTACAGTTATGCAGAGCATGTCATGTTCACTGTGATTGTATGATTCCTATTTAAGAAAAAATAATGGGGCCTAATTCTGATCTCCAGCTATGTAGATGTGAGAAATGCTCTAGTCTCTTGCTGCCACATAACCCTGCTGCACATCAGGATGACAGACCCTAGGGAGTCTTCAATGTTTGGAAAACAAGCCGTGTTTGCTACTTCTGGGCACACCCTGGATTTGTTTAGACATATGCTATATGAAACTCAGTGATATTGTATCTTATTTCAAGTTGATTCTGA